TTTAGCAAAGCGTTCTTAAGACTTCCCAATATCGTGACAAACATAATAAGATTTCAACCTACAAATTTGAAATACTGTGTGTCAATCAATTTTTAAATTGTATCTGCTAAAGAGAAATCACAAGACTGGCTCTCTAGTAAGCTAAATTCTCTTAAATAACACAAACACTTAAGGCATCAAATGTTCACAAATTTTTCTTCTTACTATTAAAATACTATTTCTATTATCAATATTCTTGTATATATTGCATTTAATTTTAAATTTTCCTATAATGAAAAGGTATGTATCAACTGAGACAGGAAACTGACATACTGAAATTATTTAGATATATGTACTTATAAGGATGAAAGAACCACAGGCTGAGAAATAGAAATTACCACCCAGGTTCACTGATTTTGTTTGTTTTCACTAGTGATCCAGGCCAGATACGAGGTCTGGGGCTGCAGACATCAGAGCAATTATCACCATCCAACTGTCACACTTATTGTTTTAATAATCTCTATGCCATGGGCTTCAAAAAACTAAGCTAAATTAAAGGGAAACTTGAGGAGAAAACTTCAATACAAGGATAGATTACCTAATTTCCAGGTCACTAATAAGGTATCAGAAGCTCTCATCCAAATATATACTTTGATATTATATGTCTGATTCTTAAGATATACCCATAGATTTTATTTTTTAAAAAAATTTATTTATTTATTTATTTATTTGAAAGGCAGAGTTACACACAGAGAGAAGGAGAGGCAGAGAGAGAAAGAGAGGTCTTCCATCCACTGGTTCACTTTGCAATTGGCCACAGTGGCTGGAGCTGTGCCAGTCCGAAGCCAGGAGCAAGGAGCTTCTTCTGGCCTCCCACATGGGTGCAGGAGCCCAAGTACTTGGGCCATCTTCTACTACTGTCCTAGGCCATAGCAGACAGCTGGATCAGAAGTGCAGCAGCCTAGCCAGTGGTGCGTCACTTGGCTAATCCTCCGCCTGCGGTGCCGGCACCTCAGGTTCTAGTCCCAGTTGGGGTGCCAGTTCTGTCCCGGTTGCTCCTCTTCCAGTCCAGCTCTCTGCTGTGGCCCGGGAAGGCAGTGGAGGATGGCCCAAGTGCTTGGGCCCTGCACCCATATGGGAGACCAGAAGGAAGCACCTGGCTCCTGGCTTCGGATCGGCACAGCACACAGGCCGCAGTGCACTGGCCATAGCAGCCATTTGGGGGGTGAACCAAAAGAAAAAGGAAGACCTTTCTCTCTGTCTCTGTCTCTCTCTCTCTCTCACTAACTCTGCCTGTCAAAATAATAATAATAATAATAATAATAATAATAATAAAGAAGTGGAGCAGCCAGAACTTGAATTGGTGCCCATACGGGATGCCAGCACTACAGACAGCGGCTTTACCCACTACGGCTCAGTGCCAGCCCCACCTATAGATTTCTCCATCTAATTCTAAGACTTTTGACATTGGTGGGACAACAAGAGATGTAATTATATTTTATTTCCAAATATAATGACTTAGAAGTTGATAAGATTCTAATAAAAGCAAATATCTTCCCCTGTGATGGAATCTTGGCATTATTTTATCTTCATATTCATATACATTTCTTAATTCAGCGTTTCCTAAATTAAATTTTTCTCTTATAATGTATTTCTGACTCATGAAAGCACCATGAATACTTTCATTGCCTTTCCTAGTTCTTGTTTTCTTTTGCAACCAAGACTGGGTTACTCAGATGACAGAAGAGAACGTGCTTTCTCTCCCATCCCAGGTGCATGAGTCTTAGAAATGCACTATTCAGTTTCATAGAAGTGAAATTATCTTATGGTCATTCTTTAAAAAGACAGTGAAAATCATTTGATATTTGTCTTTTCGTAATTGGCTTATTTCACTAAGCATGGTGGTCTCCAATTGAACCCATTGTGTAGTGAATGATATGTTTTCCTGATTTGTGGTAACCAATATACAGAGTACAAAAAATGTAATGTGTAATGAATGAAATTGACATTTTGAGATTTGATTATTGTTTATGCCCCTTGTCTATTCTCTTAAGGAACAGTGTTTTTTTACTCAGTATTTGCTGAATTCTTTATTTAGTGGAGGGTTAAGCTTGTGATTTTAAAGTAAAATGAAAGTATATCATTATAAAAATTAAAAGAAAACTAATGAAGGAAAAGGAAGGGTGTGAATGAGGAAGTGAGAGGCTAGAATGGGAAGTATCATTATGCTCTTAAAACTATATATTAAATACATAAAATTTTGCCTTTAAATAAATAAAAAGAAACAAAAAGAAAATGACAGAGCTTTTGGGCTACTCAAATGTCTTTCATTGGCCTATGACATCATGCAGTTCCCTTGTAAACTGGGTATAAGCTTATGTTGAAAAACAATTGGGGGCCAGCGCTGTGACATAGTGGCTAAAGGTACTGCCTGTAGTGCCAGCTTCCCATATGGCTGCTGCACTTCCAATCTAGCTCTCTGATATGGCCTGGAAAAGCAATAGAAAAATGCTTGGGCTCCTGAACACACGTGGGAGACCTGTAAGAAGCTCCTGGCTCCTGGCTTTGGATTGTCACAGCTCTGGCCATTGCGGCCATTTGGGGAATGAACCAACGGATGGAAGACCTCTCTCTCTCTCCCTGCTTCTATCTCTCTGTAACTCTGACTTTCAAATAAATGAGTAAATCTTAAAAAAAAAAATTTATGATCTCAGGCAGTAAATTAGCTAGATGAAAAAAAAAAAAACTTCAGTAGTATTTCATACTATGTCTATACCATAATTTCTTTATCCAATCATCAGTTGAAGGACATTTGGTTTGAGTCCGTATTTTAGCTATTATGAACTGAGTTGCAATAAACATGTGGATACAAATAACTCTTTCATATGCTGAATTCATTTCCCTTGGGTGAATTCCAAAGAAAGGGGTGGATGGATCATCTAGTATATGTACTTTCAGTTTTCTGAGGTGTCTCCATACTATCTTCCACAATGGCTGTACTAGTTTATAGTCCCACCAACAGTGGATTAGGGTACATTTTTCCCCACATCTTCATCAGCATTTACTGTTTGTTGATTTCTGTATGAAAGCCATTCTAACTTGGGTGAGGTGAAACCTCATTGTGGTTTTGGTTCTCATTTCCCTGATGGCTAGTGATCCTGAGCATTTTTTCATGTGTCTGTTTGTTATTTGAATTTCCCCCTTTGAAAAGTCCTTCTCCATTTCTTAACTGGATTGTTTGTTTTGTTGTTGTGAGTTTCTTGAGCTCTTTATAGATTCTGGATATTAATTCATTATCAGTTTTATAGATTTCAAATCTTTTATCCCATTCTGTCAGGTCTTAACTTTACTAAGTGTTTCCTTGACAGTTCAGAAGCTTCTTGTACAGCTTGATGGACTATTTGATTGGACTATTTTTGCTTTGATTCCTTTTCATCATGCTTCTGGGCTACTCAAATGTCTTTGCCTATGCCAAAGTCTTTAAGAGTTTACCCAGTGGTCTCCTCTACTAATTTGATATTATCAGGTCATAGATTTAGATCCTTGATCCGTTTTGAGTTGATTTTTGGATAAGATGGAAGATAGGGATTTTGTTTCATTCTTCTGCACAGAGATTCAATTAACAAAGCACCATTTGTTGAAGAGGCTGTCCTTGCTCTAGGGATTGATTTTAGCTCCTTTGTCAAAGATTATATGGTTGTGGATGTACAAATTGATTTCTGGCATTTCTCTTCTGTCCCATTGGTATACATGTCTATTTTTGTGTGAGTACCAGACTGTTTTGATTATAACTATCATGTATCATGTATTGAAATATGGTATTGTGATGTTTTCAGCTTTTTTTTTGTTTTACAAGATTGCTTTAACTATTTGAGGTCTCTTGTTTTCCATATAAATTTTAGCATCATTTTTCCTAGAATACTACTCAGCCATAAAAAAGAATGAAATCCTGTCTTTTGCAACAAAATGGATGTAACTGGAAACCATTATACTTAGAGCAATAGGCCAGTTCCAAAAAGACAAATGTCATACGTTTTCTCTGATCTGTGGTAACTAATGAGTACCAAAAATGTAATGTAGAGGAGTGAAATTGACATTTTGAGATTTGATGATTGTTTACAGCCATAGTTTCAATTGTGGAGGAACAGTGTTTTTTCTTCCTACTATTTGTTTAAGTCCCTACTTAGTGTGAGGTTAATCTTTTCTTTTTTTTTCTTAATATACAGAAGATCAGTTTAGTATACATTAAGTAAAGATTTCAACAGTTTGCTCCCACATAGAAACATAAAGTGAAAAATAATAGATGATTTTTTAAATGATGATGAAATCAGATCAGACCTATTGTCATGTTTAATCCCAGCGAGAGTCAAGTTGGGAATTGATAATTTTTTTTTACAGAAGATCACTTTAGTATACATTAAGTAAAGATTTCAACAGTTTGCACCCCCATAGAAACACAAAGTGAAATATACTGTTTGAGTACTCGTTATAGCATTAAATCTCAATGTACAGCACACTAAGGACAAAGATCCTACATGAGGAGTAAGTGCTCAGTGACTCCTGTTGTTGACTTAACAAATTGACACTCTGTTTATGGCATCAGTAATCACCCTAGGCTCTTCTGGAATCCTTTCAGTATAAAGTAAACTGAAAGTTAATCATTGTAAAAGTCAAGAGAAGGAATAACAGAGAAAGGAGGAGGAAGGGTGGGACCATGGAGGGGGGATTGTATCACTATGTTACTAAATATTTATAGATAAATACAAATTAAACTTATTTATCTTAAATAAAATTGTAATAATTTAAAAATAAAATAAAAATTTAAAAAATAGCATGCCACAAATGGAAGTTATTGTATATCCAAAACAAAGTATTCAACCTGTCATCACAAATATTAATCCTGAAAATCTAATTATTCCTTTACTCTTCTCCTGATTTAGCCTTTGTCTCTTATTTGTTTGTACACTATAAATAATGAAACACGAATTTCTATATTTTAAGCTATTTTTTTCTTTTCTCAGTTTCTACAGATAAAGTGATCTGAAGTGATGGATGATGACACAAAAGCAGAAAAGAGAAACTGTGACAACCCCCAGAAATGTGAAAGGAGGTTTCTTATTGGATGACAGCATCTTTGTTCAATTTATATAAATACCCAAATTAATAAAATGGACAGTATTGTTCAATTTTAGAAAATCCATGTATTCTATGTCCACACTATATAACTGTCAGGTTTATATGGTTTAAATTGTAAATGTGTTTTTCCCTCTTGCTAATTATTTTTTTTTAGTCTTAAAGTGTGAAGGACATTTATGAGTGGTAAGGGAGACACTGTATACAAATGTATATTTGTAAAAGCTATTTTTATGATTAGCATGTTTCACTGTTGATCATATACAAATTCAGGTGATACTGCAATTCTATGTTTAAAGCTTATTTCCAATGATGTCATGTAAGAAAAAAAAATACATTGTATGCTAGTTTTTATAATTTATTTTTAATTTATAGTTTAAAGTATGCAGATCGTAAGGATAAAGTACTTGGAAAAGTTATATTTCTGCCTTCTATAAGCACCCTTTTTTATTAACAAAGAATGTGCACATTCAGATGTGATACAATAGTTAAGGACTGTTAGTTTGACCTGTGACTAAATTGAGCATGCTCCAGTCTAATGAACTGAAATGACCCAGTTATTACCTAATACTTCAGTCTGCGTACAAGATTCCGTGGACAGATTTGAGTGCTCATACAGGAAAGAACTAGACTGACAAGGAAAAAAATAGCCTTGTCTTTAGATACAAAAGTCTCAATTAGTGCATACACCACTTCATGTCATCTCCTATTCCAGAAACTTTCCATTCCCAAGCATTGCAAGTGTTTTCTGATGCTGTTAGCTATTGTCTTGTGCTGTGGAAATGGAGAAACCATCTTCACAGATCCTAGGAGAACTCAGCATATAATTTCTTAATAAATACTGTTTCTTTTAAAAATGAAACTAGTGTGTGTTTTCTTTCTTTCAGTATCCTTGTTTTACTATACAGTGTAAATTTTTTCAGTCACTGTAATGCAAAAAAGAATCAGCACAATAATGGAAATCACATAACTTTACTACAGTATATATTGCATGTTCTATGTGCCCCCTCCACATTGAGTGACCTGTCGCTCCCCGTCTTCGTGGAGGAACGACACAGGACCCTGCGTTGTTCTTTTGTCTGCTCGGCCCTCCCCGGGTTTGCTGCTGGTTCTTCCCGGATTGGCTACCGTCCCTCCACCTCCGTGGAGGGGTGGGCCCCCTGCCACTTTCCCCACTTCCGCAGGGGAGCAGCACACCGCCGGCCGGCTCTCTCGGGGGCTGCACAGGTGTTCCTTCAGATAGATGTTCCTGGTGCATGTTGTCTTTCTCCTCCTTTATAGTCCTCTTCCACCAATCCCAACTCTGCTACCCACACGCCGAGTACGCTGCTCTCCTCCAATCAGGAGCAGGTCCTGCAGCTTGTTGGTTGAACTGGAGGCAGCTATGTAGAAGCTGTTTCCTCCTCTCCCAGCGCCATATTGTGGGAGAGCAGATGCATAGAATAAGTCTTAATTCCAGTAACAGTCTAGTCCGAGTTGCTCCCAGTTGCTCCCCACAGTGACCTACATTCTGGAACATATTAATTTCCCATGTAAAAGAAAATCATATGATTCTCAATCCTTGATAGAAAGCCACACTATGGTTCACATTTCAAGAAGTTATATTTTTCCTCCAAATACAGAATTTAAAAAATATTTCAGGATCAGACAAAACTATCTCATCAAGATATATTAAGCTCTGGTCGGCGCCACGGCTCAACAGGCTAATCCTCCGCTTAGCGGCGCCAGCACACTGGGTTCTAGTCCTGGTTAGGGCACCGGATTCTGTACCAGTTGCCCCTCTTCCATGCCAGCTCTCTGCTGTGCCCGGGAGTGCAGTGGAGGATGGCCCAAGTGCTTGGGCCCTGCACCCGCATGGGAGACCAAGAGAAGCACCTGGCTCCTGCCTTCGGATCAGCGCGGTGCGCTGGCCGCAGCACGCTGGCCGCGGCGGCCATTGGAGGGTGAACCAACGGCAGAGGAAGACCTTTCTCTCTGTCTCTCTCTCTCTCACTATCCACTCTGCCTGTCGAAAAAAAAAAAAGAAGAAGAAGAAGAAGTATTAAGCTCTGCCAGACTAAAGGCCTATAGCTTAATGATTACAAGGTTTCCACAAAAGAAGAGAAAGACCACATGTAAACATCACCAAAACAATTACTGGAATGAAGGCCTTCTTTTCTCAAAGAAACTGAAGAGAATCTAAAATTACCGTGATGTGTTTTTCCTTAATTTTTTATAATTTTAAGGTAATTTAGCTTTGGTCTATCACTTGGATATAAGCAAATGAAAAATGATACAATTTCATCCAACAAGGGAATCAAATTCTGGGGGCAAAATACAGGAATTAAAACTCTGCTATTAAAAATTAAATATTCTACATTTTGTTACTTAAAGTCTTTAGAAAGTTGCACAATAGAACCTAAGACTTGGGGGCCGGCACTGTGGCCTAGCAGTAAAGCCACTGTCTATAGGGCTGGCATCCCATCTGGGCACTGGTTCAAGTCCCAGCTTCTCCTTCTTTGATCCAGATCCTTGCTAATGTGCCTGGAAAAGCAGTGGAAGATGACCCAAGTCCTTGGGTACCTGTACCCATGTGTGAGACCCAGGGGAAGCTCCTGGCTCCGACCTGGGCCAGCCCTGATCATTATGGCCATCTGGGGAGTCAACCAGTGGAAAGAAGATCTCTTTCTCTCCCTCCCTCCCACTCTCTCTCTCTCTCTCTCTCTCTCTCTCTCTCTCTCTGCCTCACCTTCTCTAAACTCTGACTTTCAAATAAGAATAAATTAATTAATTTTAAAAACCAAGAATCTGGGTTCTGCATCAGGGATTCAGTTCCTTTTTAAGGGAATGAGAACTCACAATGTGGTGCACTGGAAACTATTTTTGATAGCCATAATGGGTTATGAGGAATGTTTGGCTGCCCATGATTGGGTTCCGAAACTGGAAAAATGGATCTATATGGATCTATAAGGGGATAAAATCATCAGAGTGATTACTTCGTTTTCTACCTAATAGATAAATTTGCTGAGAATAATCTGATGCACCAGAAAGGGTGTCAGAGGCACGGTGGATTAGCAAATTACATATGTGAACATTTTTCCCAATCTGCTATTCATCTGCCCTAAAAGCATGCAGTAAATATGCAGCATCTATAACCTAGCATTATCATAAATTATTTTGAGTTTCATAATTTACCTGATGATCACTAATTACTCTCAAAATAGGATGAATAATCAAAATATAAATGAAATTGAATTAGACTTATTTTTCTTTACATAGACATTGAAATATGATAATATAGGTCTTTACTTTTGTTTGTTACCTGTTCCTAGTGGAAAAATTAGAAAAAAAAATTATTTTTAGTGAAAAATATGGTACAAAGTATATACTAATCAACAAAGTGTAGATGCCTTAGAATTGTAATCCTTGGTTGCTTAGTTTAACATCAAAGGAAAGTCTTTAAGGACCAAAGAAAGGAGTGTACACTTCTTCCAATTTCAAATGCTGTCAATCTCACTTTTCAAAATGTTAAAAGAAATACAAAGATATATTCCTCTCCATGTACAATTCAAGAAAACATGAAAAACTAAGCCCAATGCTTGAAGTTAGTGATACTAGTCACTGGCAGCCATGAGCAGGGGTAAAGTACCACATTTGTGTACTTATTCCACAAAAGAAGAGTTGTCAAGGCAGACATGTACACTGGAACTAAGAAAGAAATGACGTGGAAGTAGAGAAAGAGGAACCAAATTTTAATGAATTAAAAGTCAGAGAATAGGAGCCATAAATGCAAATGTCTATAAAATCCTGTCTTAAAACTATAAAGGATCTGTCCTGAAGTAAGTTTATAAATAAAGAAATGTAATTGAGCTGATGAGCAGACAGCCACTTCTCAGGGACAGCTCAACACTGAATTCAGAAGCACAGACCTATTTTTCAAAAAGAAATGGACATCTAGAGACTTAAATGAGATAGTATATATACTTTCTTTTGTTCTAACATGAATCTTTGTTTTTTAACTTTTATTTAGTAAATATAAATTTCCAAAGTACAGTTTATGGATTACAATGGCTCCCCCCCCATAACGTCCTTCTCATCCACAACCCTCCCCTTTCCCACTCCCTCTCCTCTTCCATTCACATCAAGATTCATTTTCAATTCTCTTTATATACAGAAGATCAATTTACTATATATTAAATAAAGATTTCATCAGTTTGCACCCACACAGAACATAAAGTGTAAAATACTGTTTCGGTACTAGTTATAGCATTACTTTACATTGAACAACACATTAAGGACAGAGATCCCACATGAGGAGTAAGTACACAGTGACTCCTGTTGTTGACTTAACAATTTGACACTCTTGTTTATGGCGTCAGTAATCTCCCTAGGCTCTAGTCATGAGTTGCCAAGGCTATGGAAACCTTTTGAATTCGTCAACTTCGATCTTATGTAGACAAGGTCATAGTCAAAGTGGAAATTCTCTCCTCCCTTCAGAGAAAAGTACCTTCTCCTTTGATGGCCCGTTCTTGCTACTGGGATCTCACTCCAGAGATCTTTCATTTAGTGTTTGTTTGTTTGTTTGTTTGCCAGAGTGTCTTGGCTTTCCATGCCTGCAATACTCTCATGGGCTCTTTAGCCATATCCAAATGCCTTAAGGGCTGATTCTGAGGCCAGAGTGCTGTTTAGGACATCTGCCATTCTATGAGTCTGCTGTGTATCCCACTTCCCATGGTGGATCGTGTTCTCCCTTTTTTAGTCTATCAGTTAGTATTAGCAGAGACTACTCTTGTTTATGTGATCCCTTTGACTCTTAGACCTATCAGTTTGATCAATTGTGAACTGAAATTGATCACTTGGACTAGTGAGATGGCATTGGTACATACAATCTTGATGGGATTGTATTGGAATCCCCTGGCACATTTCTAACTCTACCATTTGGGGCAAGTCTGATTGAGCATGTCCCAAATTGTACATCTCCTCCCTTTATTATTCCCACTCTTATATTTAACAGGGATCACTTTTCAGTCTAATATGAATCTTAAGATAAGGAAATCAAGGTAAAGCTGTGATTTATATCTAGGATTTAATAGTTGTCAAATTTAAACGAACTCACAAAAACAGAAAAAACAGTGTCAGAATTATCTCTGGTGAGAAAGAGAAGGGAGAATCAGCTATATGAAAGAAAATAAAGATATTCACAACATCTTTCATATTTAATTTATTAGGAAAATAATAAAATATGGAAATATTGATTTGATAAATTCAACAATAGGTTACACTGATGTTCATCATATTTTCATTATGTTGATTGCATAGGCATAAAATACTTTGCAGTAATAAAAATACATGATTTGTATTTAAACAATTATACACAGGTAGATATAAACAAACATATGAACAATATACAGAAGGGGTGATACAATAACGTGAAGGTGGAAGCTTAGATCTTCAGTCTCATCAACAGTCTAGGTTTGTAATCTACCTTTCTAGAGAATTTCAGGAACCTAGAAAAGAACATGAACTCGAGAAAGAGAACATGCAGTATTGTAACATCCAAAACCATTCCTACAGAGGAGGAATCTGCAAGTGAATTTACATTGGCTCTTGAAAACAACACTTGAGATAGTTATAACCTCTCCAGGACCTTCAATATGTTTTGTGAGAGAATTTGGGATACGCAAATGTGAAACATAATTCCTATATTTATCTGCTACATTTGTATATGAATGGTAATTTCACCAAAGAAGTTTACAGAATTAAATGAAGCAGGCTTTGTTTTGGGCTTTTACCTTATGATGAAAAACAGCACAAAAGCTGTAATTTGTTGAGCAATTATTATGTTCTGGGCACTGTGTTAATTATTTGTTTTATTACTAATGG